GTTGTATCTGAAGACCACACCCATTTCCTCCAATGACTGAATTTTCTACGTTTTCCAGCAGGTGGGATCTGTCCAGACTCAGGAGTAGCTGGGTGTGGCAGCTCACACCTTCAATCTCTTAATCCTATCAACTGGGAAGCTGAAGCAGGAGGATTTTGAGTTCAAGTCCAGCCTGAGATACACAGTGAGACCTTGTCTCAGAAAACAAGACTCACTGATTTTATAACAATTTTACTGTATCTAAATGTTTTTGGGTGTGCTCTTTGTTTTTGTTTTTAATAATGTTAAAAAGATGTCACCAATGTATGATGTTAGCAACTATCTTAACATTTATGTAATGTTTTGTAATAAGGGAAGATATTTTATTTTTATGTAGCATACAACTTATCTGTATAAGCCAGGGGTGGTGGCACACGCCTTTAATCCCAGCACTCGGGAGGCAGGGGCAGCTGGATCTCTGTGAGTTCATGGCCAGCCTGGTCTACATAGTGAGTTCCAGGCCAGCTGGGGCTACAGGGATACTCTGTCTTAAGAAAAAAATCCCCACAAACCACAAAACAAACAAATAAAAATAAAAGAGAAAAGCCCTTGCAGGAGTTCCAAGCAGCTTGTGTTTTAGTTGATTTCTGATCCAGTCAAGTTGACAACCAAGACTAGCTATCACATTTTCAAAGATGATTTTCCCCTTTGATAGTTTCTGAATAAAATTTTAGGATGTAAAACCAAGAATTAAAAAACCAGAAACATAATGAAGTGTTAAATATAAGCCTTCATTTTTTACAGGAAGAACTCAAGGTGGGAAGGAGTGTTTGGGCAAAGCAGTGGTTCTGGGCTTTGCTGGGCTACACTACCCTAGAAAGGCCAGGAGGGGCTAGAACAGGTCTCAGAACCAGTTGTTAGGTGATTCAGGGACTGAGGCAATCACCAACCTTCCCCTTTACACTATTTGCTCCTTGTTTTGCACATCACTAGGCAAAATGCTAAGATTTGACCATTTGTGAAAAATAAAAAAAAGGGCTGTTCTGCCCTGCTGGATGGCTTCTAGATGTTCAAAATTATTGCCAGCTTTGTAACTGAAGATTATGTTCAGGTCCCTAAAACTTTCATAATATGACTCATATATAACATTTCACTGGTAGCCTTGGATCAGTAAGGGAAAATTCATGGGAAAATTGGCTCCACATCATGTCATGAATCATCTAATCAATAATACACATGTACCCAAGGCATAACTACACAAGTTGTTATGTACAGTAACAATATTTGGAGCAAGAATAATCCCTAGGACACACTACCTCCGCATCTACATTCTCAGTCTATAAAAATGTCACTCCATCCTCTCCAAGCAGAGTCCCCAGTCACCAGTTCACCTGAGATGCTTCCCATTTGCATGCGTGTTTTTCTTTAGCCTATATGTTAATCTCTTATTTTTAATGAAAGTTTTGCTTGCTGTGTCTATCTATAAATTCTTTTGTTCAGGAGACCAAGAACTTCATCAGGAAGGGATCTGACCCTCCTGAGCAAGCATCTCCAAGAACTGCAAACACATGTTCTTCACATTGATTAAACTTCCTACCAAAGAAAAGGAAGCATTTCTCTCAGCCAGTCTAGGGCATCAGGTTTCTTTTGGAAGAAGCCTCAGGAATCCAAAATGAAACAGTTATGAAGTGTTATGCTTAAAAGCTGGGCATGGCAACATACTTTTAACACTTGGGAGGCAGAGGCTGGGGGATCCCTGTGAGACCAAGGCCAGCCTTGTCTCCATAGTGAGTTCCAGACCAGCTGGGACTACAGGGAGACCATGTCTCAAAAAGACAAAAAAGTGTTATGCTCAGAAAAGTATTTTTTTTAATATTAAAAAATTATTTTATGTGTATGAGTGTTTTGTCTGCAGGTATGTAAGTGCATCATGTGCATGCAATGCCCCAAGGAGGCCAGCAGAGGGTGTTGGATTCCCTGAAACTGGAGTTGTGGATGGTTGTTAACCATCATGTGGGTGCTGGGAATCAAACCGGGGTCCTCTGGAAGAACAATGAGTGTCCTGAACTGCTGAATCATCTCTCCAGGCCCCTCAGCAAAGTTTTGATTCACTGCTCAGACTCCTACAGAGATAACAATGTATGTCAATTTCATCCACCAACCAAAAAGCATTCATTGCTTCTTGTGGGGTGTAGATGGTATAGAAGCAAGAATAATAGATAAATAGCAGTTTCTGTAGCTTGGATGTCTATGAACCAAGGAAACAAGCACTTAGCTATGGTTCCTCTATTCCCATTGGTGGATGTGGGGTCGAGAGGGCTAGAAGGCACGTGCCAAAGATTCAGATTTTCCTGCATAGCCACAAGAGTTTGCCAAGGTTATGGCTAATGCTTGGGAGACAAAAACAAAACCTTTAGAAAAGACTTTAACAGAATTCTTTCCTTCCTTCCTTCCTTCCTTCCTTCCTTCCTTCCTTCCTTCCGTAATCGGGTATTAGCCACAACTTGATATAGAGAAATCAGCAAATGATTTTCTCTTTTTTTGAGACAGGGTCTCCCTGCAGTCCCAGCTGCTTGCCTGGAACTCACTCTGTAGACCAGGCTGACCTTGATCTCATAGAGATCTGCCTGCCTCTGCCTCCCAAGTGCTGGGATTAAAAGAATGTACCACCATGTTCAGCTAGAATTATTTTTTAATTTATATTTTTATTGAGTTTTTATGCATTTCATACAATACATCTTAATCATATTTAGACCCCTGCCATCCCCTATCCACACCACCTCACAGTCCTGACTTTCCCAATGGATTTAATTCATTCTGTCATATATGTTAAGGCCTATCAGGTCAAACTTCTGTGTCCAGATGTCCCTTGGTGCAAGTTAATCCATTGGAGTCTTGTCAATCTATCTAGAGTCACTCCCCTAAAGATCAATTCTCCCTCACCATGCAGTAACCAGTTGCCAATAACTACTATGCTAAGGCTGGAGCCTGCTATCCATTTCCCCAGTTCTATACTGGGTTTTTGTTTGATTGAGTAATCATGGGTCTTGTGCTTGCTGTCACCATTGCTGCAAGTTCCCAGAGGCTTGAAAGTCACTGCTTCCTTATGTTCATGCACCAACCCCAACTCTTACAATCTTTCTGCCCCCTCTTCCGAAATGGTCCCTGAGCCATAGGTGGGTGAGGTTTAATATAGAAGTCCTACTCACGAAACATATTCTGTAATCTCGTTTTCTCTACACGTTGGCCAGTTGTGGCCTTCTGTATGCACTGAACTCTGTTGCATGAGGAATCTTTGCTCGTGAGAGTTGAGGGATGCATTCTTTGTACCTTCTGTTCTACTATGTTCTGTAGGTCTTAGGTGTAAAGGTTCCACTGTGGGTGTGCCACTTATGTACCTTTCAGACACATATTTTCTGTGAGTGACCAGTTGTGGAACTCTGCCATAGCCTCCCTCTGTTGCAAAAACAAACTTCTTTGATGAGTGGTGAATGGTATTCTTGTCTGTAAATATAAGGACCCATACTTAGCATACAATAAGAAATTTCATTTTTCTAGAGATATGACAGATACAGGGTTTTCTCTAGGATTTATGACCTCTACAGCCAAGTATATTTGGCTATGTATACAGTGCCACCTATGAGTTCCCTTGCATGAGAGGGATTTAAGTCCAATTAGATAGCTGTTGATTACCCCCAAGTTAAAAGTGCCACTACTGCACCAATATAGTTTATTGTGCTGGTCATTGTTGTGGTTATTAGGCTTTGAAGCTGGTGTTGGACCATTAATTGCTTTTTCTCCCTTAGCAGCTTGCATAATAGCCTCTAAATCTACGAAAACTAGACTTCAGGGAGGAGGCTTCCAGGTCAATTCCAGTTCCATTGCTTCAAGTCCTGTGTCTGAAGTATGTTCTGTCTTCAGCAATTGGGTCTTACCTTCGAGTTCTGGGAGGTAATCAAGGACTGTGGCAATAGCCTGTGTCATTTTGGGAGTCTCTTGGACTACCCTGGTCAGCAACTTGAAGGGAGGTGTCTCCTGTCTGGCACTGTTTCTTGTTACACAGCCTTCAGGTACACACATGTACTCATGTTCAAATATTGTATGTGTATTTTTCAGGACTTTTCTGAGTCAACACATTTCCCTCTGGGTTTTCACACCACCTAAACTTAATTTTTCTGTCCTCTTTCTCCTTGTCTAACATCCCCCCTCCCTTCCCAGTTGAATACCCTCATTTCCCCATTTTCCCCTTGATAATACCTGTCT